TCCAAATAAAAGTAGTAAGCCCCAGGCTGGATCTGTTGTGGATCTGTGAGTCACGTGACAACATAGTCAACGCTGACTAACGTTACATGCAGGAGCCTCCGGTGGAAAATGTCTATCAAAAAGGAGAAAAGTTGACATGGAGTGTGAGATTTTCCAAGAAAAATGGACCTGTTCGTATTCATTCACAGAGGTAAATGGGAAGCCAGTGTGCTTGGTGTGTTTGCAGCACCTTTCAGTGCTAAAGGAATATAATATTTGACGACACTATCAGACTAATCATAGCAAAAAATACAAGAACTTGCAAGGACAACTGAGAACAGACAAGATAAAAGAACTGCTGGCAGTTTTGAGGAAACAGCAGTCTGTCAGTCAGTTTTTAGTCATAGCCGAGAGATCAGTGATGCAGCTGAAACCCTAGCTACCTTATTGCTAACAAAATAGCATCTGTATCAAAGCGGCAGAAATCATGTGCCCTGACAAGCGCCAGGCTCTGCGACTTAGATTCTTGTCAATCTGACAAGAATCTAAGTGGCAGAAAGGATTTCGGATCTTGCTGGAGATTTGGACGGTCAAATTACAGACAAAGTTAAGTCATTTGTTGCATTCTCGGTTGCAACTGACAAGAGCCCGGATGTTACTGATCTTGCTCAACTGGCCATATTTGTGGTGTTGATGAGAGTTTGACTGTAACCAAGGAGTTCCTTGAGTTGGTGCCAATGACAGACACCACAGTGGGGAATGACATTTTTTAACTCTCTCGTTGGAGAGCTGGACAGGGTCGAGTTCGACTTGGCCCGCGCTGTCAGCCTGGCTACAGACAGTGTGCCATCAATGATCGGTAAAAAAGCAGGTGTTGTGACAAAATTCAGAGAAAAAGTAAAGGCTGCAAATGGAGGGCACAGCTTTTGGACTTTTCACTGTATTTTGCACCAGGAAGCATTGTGTTACAAGTTGTTAAGAGTGGATCATGTCATGGAAGTGGTTGTCTGAACTGTTAATTACATCCGAGCCAGAGTTCTGAACCATCGTCAGTTTGACAGCCTTCTTACTGATAAACACATTACCCATGGCCTGCTGTACCACTCTGAAATCCGGTGGTAAATATGTGGTAGTTTTACTGGTCTGGCCCTCTTGACATCAAATTGGGCTGCATGCGGCCCCCCAACTGAAATGAGTTTGACACCCCTGCCTTAGCCTAACCTACTTAACTTTACTTTCTTAAACCTTACCTACATTCATTTACTTACCTAAACCTAAACTACCTTACTTTACTTACTTAAACCTGAACTACAAATGTACATAACCTTACTTACCTAAACCTAGCCCATGAAACTTTAGCTACCTAAACCTAGCCTATGTAACTTTAGCTACCTAAACCTAGCCTAGATTAACACTGATTGGAGCAGGTATCGAGCAGCCTTGAGCCTGGGGAGATAATGTCTTCACTCAGTTGACATATGCTGCTGCCACTGTGCTGTTGGTTCTTACTGGCACGTGATAGCCTTGCAGACTCGGGAGAAAATGCTGGAGGGCCAGGTGAATGGCTCTGAGCTCTAGAGCATTGATATGCTGGCCCTTCCAGTGGGAGCTCCAGACCCCACTGGTGCCCCTGCTGTCGTGGAGTGCGTCCCACCCCTCCAGGGATGCATCCGTAGAGAGCACCAGACAGCGCAGTACTGAACCACGCATAGCCCCCTCAAGATGTTGGCTGGGTCCTGCCACCACCTGAGGTCCGCACAAAGCTGCACGGTGATGAGCACTGCTGCCTGCAGCTGACTCTGTGGACAGAGCCCCAGGCTGAAGAGATGCCTCTGGACTTGACGCATGTGTAGAAGAGTCAATGGCACCACTTGTACCGAGGCTGCCATAAGACCCAAGAGGCGGAACCACAGCCGCAATGTGGCCCTGGCACCCAGCTGAAAATGAGAGAGGCAGGCCCTGATGGAAACCTGCCTTTCCTGTGCAGCATCACCAACCCAGCTCTGGCATCCAGCCACATGCCTAAAAACTTGTTGGTCTGTGCAGGCCTGAGACTGCACAGGCCCCAGACCCTGAATGTGATCCAATAGCACAGACACATGATGGTGGCACAGCTCCTCTGTCGGTGCATATATTAGCCTGTTGTCTAAATAGTTCAGTATCCTGAGACCCTGCTGCTGCAGAGGCCCCAAGACTGCATCCATGCACCTGGTGAAGGTGCGGGGTGCCAGTGAGACGCCGAAGGGGAGGACACAAAATTCAAAGGTTTTTCCCTTGAAGCTGAAAAACCTGAGAAACCTCCTGTGCCCCTCCCAGATTGGGATTTGAAAATAGGCATCCTTGAGGTTGACGGTTGCAACCCCTTTGCCTACCCGGACAGCCTGCTTGACCCTGGACATTTTGCACTTCAGGAGCCTGAGGAACTTGTTCAGCCCCCTGAGGTCTAAGACAGGCCTGAGTGTCCCGTTCCACTTCAGAACAAGAAAATAGAATAAAATAAAATAAATAAAATCCTGCCTGCTGATCTTCTTCCTTCACTTCCCTGATGGCTGACTTCGCCACGAGAGTGAAGATTTCCAAGCGCAGGACCTTCCTATGCTGGTGGTCTGCAATAATGGAAAAAGCAGCCACCCTCATCAGAGATGGAGCACTTTGGAACTGTAAACGATACCCCTGGATCACTGTTGAAACAATGACCCAGGGGTATCGTTTACAGTTCCGATACCCCTGGGTCATTGTTGAAACAACCCAGGGGGGCAAGGGAAGGCTGGGGATGGCTTGGGTGGCCCTTGGCCACTGCCATGTCCTCTGCCCCATTTAAACTTGCCTCACCATGCTGTGTCCAGCAGGCCCTGCAGATCTTCCTGCCCCCAAGCGGGCTTGGGCTGCTGAGGCCTCTGCCAGCCCTGACCTTGCTTCAAGGTGCCTGACACCTCCTCAGCACAGCAACGGGCTTCCTGGCCCTGCTGAATCATCAGGCCCAAACAAGGCAGATGGCTCAACAGGCAGTTTGAGCAGGCATGCCCTATCCTCTGGCTGCAGCATGGACTGTGACAACCAGAGATGGCGCCTTGCCTCCCAAAAACTTGCCATAGCACTGTCAGCTGCTTCACTCTGCTCTCTCATTAACTTTGGGACAAGTTGTCAAGCGTCAAGTGACGAGACACATTGTAGTTCAGCTATTAGATCCGTACTACACTCCTCCTCTAGCTGGCCAACCAGATGGTGCTGGTACAAGGACAGTATGGCACCCGTGTTTGCCAGCTGTGTCTGGACTGTCATGGCTCCATGCATTTTTCCCAACAAGACATCTATTACCTTGCAGTTTCAACTCGGGCAGTTCGCCTTGCCCAGGAGGGACTTTGACAGAGCCACCAAGACAGCCAAAGCCTGACTCGTGGGGGGCAATGGCCCAAAGCCTATCCTCCCTCGATTGTCAACCGCAGCCATATGCTGCCGTCGGTGTTGTAAACCGACTCCTGACCACCTCCTCGAAATCAGAAAGGAGAGGAACAAGAAACAGTGTGGGTCGCCCCCCTGTTTCATTATCGAAACAGGAAGGGGCAGGGCCCTGACCAGCTGGCAGGTCAAGACCCAGAGCCAAAGCAGCCCGGCCAATAATTTCATGAAGGAGAGGTGACTGCTAGTCATGCGCTTTTAGAAAGAACCTGCTGCTCCTCTGAGGTGAACTCATCATTCTCTTAGGGCCCATGGCCAATAATGTCTATCTCCTCCTCCGAGCCAGGGGAGGAGGGGTTCCCCTATCCAACCCAGCAGAGGGCCCAGGAGCAGGGAAGTTCCTATGTGACACAGTCCACTCACCCCCAACTGTAATAATGGAGGTGGGGGAGTACCATGATGGGCCCCCATCCCACACTACCGGACCCGCCAACTTAGGATGCTTAGCTGGTTGCAGGCTCTGAGAAGGAGTTGGTGGACATCTGCCCCCCGACTCTGTCGGGTTTCGAGCAGGCAATCAAACCCCCAAGGAATGTCACAAGCTGCCCCCACACTTGGTCGGGTTTCAGCCAGCAACTACCTCCTAGAGGGACGCAGCATGCTGCCCCCTGACTAAGTCAGACTCGAGCAAGCTGCTATGCCTCCACTGTGCGTAAACAGACAGCTGCAATACACAGATATGGCAACCCTCTCAACTGTTTCACTCGTTATTGTCAAAAAGAAGAAACAGCATTTAGCTATCCTCGAGAGGGACCTGTGAAGGCCAGCTCTCCAATCTAAACGAAGGCAAGTGGACAAAATGCTAAACTCTCTCTTTTCTTTCTGCTCTCATGTCGACTCAGACAGGTGGAAATCAATGAATCAGTGGCTGCATGCACAAGGTGGGGCAAAGTCAAGCAACCCAGCATAAATGATCATTTCTTAATTGCAAATAGCCTCTTGTTTGATAATATTTCATCCCAAGGGATCTTCATATGAGAGGATTTATTTTGTCATTGATTTATTATTGAATCATCCAACTGTCTGTACTGTAGCGAATGAAATAAAGTGGTGAGAGAGCAAGCTATGATTGGAATAGTCATCCTTAGTCATTCTCTAATTAGCACAAATTAAAATTAAATTAGAGATAATGATTATAATTATAAGAAATGATAGATATTCCTAATTTTAAAGACCACAAGGAACCCTACTTTGACAACCCATTCTCTAAATGATAAGTATCTCTAAATTGTATCACTGGTAATATTTCATTGCCCTTTTTACCTGATTTTAATGTTTGTTTCAGTAAAATTGCGTGGCTATCTTTTTCCTTTTTTTTTTTAAAGGATAGATGAGATTCCCATTTAAACCTCATCATCTCATTACCATAATCACATTGCTATACAATAATTAGCTGTATTCAATAACTATCAAAATCTCCCCAGGGGGACTTTTGCTCGGCATAAACCAGTGTCAGCTCATGGGTCATCAGGCCTTAATGTGTGCACAGGGATCGTGTCGAAATGATCTAAAGTCATTCGTTTTCCTAAAGAGGCAGCAAAGAGAAGCCAGAGTAAAACAAGTCACAGAAAGAAAAAATGAAACTTTATTTGTTTTTATACTTACCAACACTTTGAAATTAAAACCTATGTAATTACCCACAACTAATATAGATCTGCACATAGCAAATAAATCAATCAAAAATAGTTACAAAGTTCTATCACTTTTTTTTCCTCCAACTGCAATACACAAAACAAAAGCTGAAAAAACATGTCTAGTCATTCTTCTTTTCCTGTTGTTGCTGCCACATGAAATGTGGTTAAAATAAAAAAAACATTTTTAAACAAGCTACACAGCTCTCCTGTATCTAAGCTAATAATAACTGAATAAATAATTGCACATTGCACCCTATTATTGCATTAGTTGCAGTTTGTTTCAAAGTTGTAGTATACTCAGGCATATACACAAACGTAAATACAGTTTCCAAACACTGAGTAACACATGAATATTGATGTTATTGAAATCACACTGCCATAGCGATCAAATTCAAATAACACAACAAGATCTTTGTCAAATGCACGTGTCAACCGTGCTAATAAGCATTAGCAATCCTTGCTTTTCTGTTTTTATTTCTTTCATATGTGTACTAATTTGAAGCAAACATTTCAATGGTACACATGCATTGATAACAGTTGTATAAAAGCCATAATACCCTTGAAGATGTTCTTTACTCGTACAATACTCTTGGGAAAGAATGCCCTCTTAGGTATTAGCCAACTGTTCTAAAAAGCGTTTGCCCCCCAGAAACATAATTTCATTTAGTTCATTTGACAAACATTCCCATTAAAGTACAAGCTATGACAACTCAAAATAAAAAGAAACACAAATTCATAATTTCAATGCTAGCACTACTACTTGAGTTCACATCAAAATGTAAGAATTATTGCAGAATAATCATTGACTATGCATGGTTCAGTATAGTGATACAGCATTTGTCCATTTACATAATCACATTTATGTCATCAAAGCGCTTAAGACCCAAAGTTACAGAAAAAGTTCAACACTTAAGCAAATATGCTCATTTACTTTCCTGCCAAGAGTTAGATAAATACAATACCACTGTCTTGTCTGTATGCCTAATATGAAATTACTGCTAGCAGCTGGTTAGCTTAGCTTAGCATTAAGACTGGAAACAGAGGTAAACAGCTGGCCAGGCTCTATCGAAAGGTAACAAAATACACCTATCAGATCTTCTAAAACTCAGTTATTAACAATCGTGTTGTTTATGGGCAGTTATGTGCCAGGCTGTTTCATGGTCAGGACTATTATCTTACTGGAGTCTCTGATGGTTGCTGGTACCTTGAATGGGGATAAAATTATTTAATCTTGCGGCCCTTTTAGATTTTGCAATATTAATGGACCAAATGGCTGATCCGGGACACTTTGTGGGGGTTGTGACGGTCAAAAAATGCATCCACTAATTTACAAATGTGTCTTTTGCCATGAAAGTCAATGGAAAACAGTCTTTTTTGACTGCAGAGCATCATATGACAGACCCGGCAGTTGTTATTACACTATTTTGCCACCACAAAAATTGGCTTTAAAGCCTGACGTGCTCCCCTGGGGCCTGCCTGGTCTTAGGTTGTGAGGTTAATAGGTCTTTGACATCATGAATTTAATTTATTTCATAATATTTCAAGCACTCTGAGAGTTGAATTTGCTTTCTTGCAGAGAGTTAGCTCCCTGCTAAATATGAAGCTACATCCAGGGAACATTTAGCGTAACTTAGCTTGGCACGAAGCCTGCAACAAGGGGAAACTGTTACTCTGACTCTTGTGATTAAACACACTAGATTTAACATGCTACTTAGTAAGCTTTAGCAGCTGGTAAAGTCATTTATTTAGCTTTGCAGAGCCAGGTAGATGCTCCCTTCTGTTTCCAGCCTTTATGCTAAGCTAAGCTAAGCGAAGCTAAACTAAGCTAAGCTAAGCTAAGCAGATCATATTTAGCATACAGACAGAGGGATATCAATCTTCTCATCTAACTCTTGATGAGAAAGCGAACAAGCATATTTCACAAAATGTCAAACTTTTCCTTAAAGCTCAGCATAAGCTATTGTAAAATAAAACAAGAGTAGTGGTATGTATGAAGAAATTGAGACACTGAAAATGCAGAATGCTACTGTGTTGGACAGTAGATCATGTGATTCGACAATAACATTCAACAGCTGTTTGTCTTATGTCAAAACTGAATTGAGCTCAGCTGTTCGGAAATGAGATGACTCAAGCTGTCCCAATAGTATTTAGAGCATCTTCATGAGTCGAACACGCGAGGGATGGTTGAAATACTGAACCATACCAAATATCATCCACACCTCCCTCTCAAATTAAATACAATACAACAAAACTAACTTAGCTTAAGTTTCATGATCGACAAACAAAAAGTCATATGTGCATCACCACACCATAAATAAATACATGCTGGTTTTACTGAAAACCAGTGAAGCAGTACTAATTGTCATCCAACCTGTCCTTTTTCAAATAAAAACAATTAAGTTGCTGACAATAAAAAGACATTCAAACCTAAAGCGTCAAATCAACCGTATGACAACAAAAAGACAAGATGAACAATCTTGAAAAAGAGACTGAGTGGTCACGTCCGCCCAGGCCCCGTGGGTTCCCCCCAATGAACCCCTGAACATTCCTTGGCCCAAAAAATACCATTCGGCTTCGTCCAAACGTTTAGGCCTCTTTGCCACGAAGAGTCGGCTTCTTTCCCTTGTTTTTTGCTCTCTTTTAAAGCTTTCACAGGGACCCGTAATTTATCTGAGACAAGGGAAGGAAGCCGAAAGGTTTGGACGCAACACTTGGCTTTTAAGTCCAACTAATTCCTCCCACATCAGAGGCAGTCCAGAGTAAAGTGTTGAATAGTCTATTGCATGAGCGCCGCGTAGTCGACTAATGTGCTAAATCACAATAGTCCTTGTACAAAACAAATACAGTATAATAATAAGTAAACAATCATTTAAATTTTCAGTTAGTGTTTTAGCCACTGATTTTTCACTAATTCCCATTCATGCATCTATATACTAATAATTGGTGTTGATAGAAGGAGGCTATGTTGGAAAGTTTTTCATTTGGGCAGGGAGTAGGACTAGACGTGAATGGCCAAAAATGCTGAAAAAGTTTGCGGAAAAGAAAGGAAGCACAAAGATATAATTATAACATTTAAAGGAGCACCTACACTGAACAGGTTTACTCAAATACACAACGATACGACACTGAACACATGCAATATAAGCAATAATGTAAATACAGGAAATTAACATGAGAAGGGAGGCTCTAGGAGTGATACCATTGGCTTAAAAGGGTCATGTGATGCAGCAAAGAGTCATGGGTAGAGATTGGATTTGTAAGTAGACAAAGATGCAAATTAGGACAAAAGCAGAACAGTCCAATTTTTTTTTGTTTTTGAAATATATTATCAAAATTTGATAATTTGGCTACATCCCACCACACACTCTGCCGATAGCATCACTGCGCAGCTGTAATATGCAGATAACTATGTTCTACAAAAATTCTCAATCTTTTACAAGTGTATACTTTTAAACGATGTTCTATGACGCAGCACTGACAGAGAGAAAGAGAAAGCAATAGATAGAGAGAAAAAGAAGAGAAAGATTAACACAAGTTGTTCCTAGTAAACATTCAACATGCTTCAACAGTTCTCTAAAAAAACTAATCAACAGAGAATTTATTTTTTGTATTTCTTTTTTTTTTCTTTTTTGTTAATTTAATTTGGCTCTCTGAAATCAAAATGAGCGCCCAACCCTCCCTGATGTATAAACAACTTTGAATCAGAGCGGGAAGGCGGTCAGGGTTTTCGGAGAGCCAGAGCCAGAGTCCGAAGGGCTTCATCAGGATTGTCTGCGGTAGTCAGTCATTGGAAAGGGCCAAACGGAGGAGTCAGTCAGGGATCTCAGGATGTGGTCATGGAAGATGGGTCATTCCACATGGCCGCCACGTCTCTAAACCTGAGGGAGGGTAATTGGAAAGTAAGAAATTAGTAATTTTCCTACATCTGTACAAGAAGGCTACTACCATTGATGATTCCATGTGATCACTTCACATCAGACCACTTTAACAGCAACTAGCCCATTTCACACATGCACCACAAACCTTGAATTATAGACATTACCCAGAGGAGCTGTATGTGAGAGCATAAACAAATTAGTTGGATTGGACATTTCATGGACTTTACCTTACCGGTTCCCTCTTGAAAAGTTTGTGTATTGTTCAATTGAGCCAATGTATGATTGAGTAGGTAATTGTCTGAAGAATTCACAGCAAGTGGGTGGGCTTGTTGATGAAGTTTCTATCATGTGGCTTGCACAAAAACAGTAGAAAACAAACGAGGGTAAAGAAGATGGGTCATTTACGCAAAGATGACAATGAATGAATGATAATAATTTATTTGAGGAATTTCAGTCAGGATTTAGAGTGCATCATAGCACTGAGACAGCACTAGTTAAAATTACAAATGACCTTCTGATTGCTTCAGACAAAGGACTTGTCTCTGTACTTGTTTTATTAGATCTTAGTGCGGCGTCTGACACAATTGACCATCAAATTCTACTGCAGAGACTGGATCACTTAATTAGCCTAAAAGGTTCTGCACTAAGCTGGTTTAAATCTTATTTATCT